AGAAGAGGACTCGAATATCACATGATATTAAAGAGCACCTCAGTAACGTAACAGGGCTGAGAGTCAACAGCAGACAGCCTGGCTCTTAGGGAGCAATTAAAATTTTTGCTATGAAAACTTGACCTCTGGCCTATTACTCCCAGAGGGGAGGAAAGGACTGAATAAACAGAAGCAAGCTAGTGGCTGCAGACACCAAGATACCAGAGAAATCTTACACAGTCAGCTGAGAGATTTCTGTGGAACCGGGAGGTATCAGGGCAGAGTGTAAGGCAATGATTTCTCTTGGTGCACAGCTGGAACCAGAATGAGGGGTTCCCACCCAAAGGGCTCAGGGTATTTTCCTGGACACACGAGGGCTCAGAAGGAATATGATTACACGAGTAACACTTAGAAAAGTAGAGATATTTACATTAGAAGATGAGGTTATTGCATGGACTAAAGGGTAGAGAGGCTACAAACCTATTCTGATGTTCCCTTCAGGCTCTCCTCCAACCTTCACAGCCCAAAATTTTCATGGAACCTTCTCAACAGCCCAAACCTTTCATGGCATCTGGACATGGCTTTGAAGGTGGAAAGGCAAGTAGCCCTTACTCCCAAGACACAAGCTTATATTGCTTTCAGCCCTGTAAAGAAGGGAAGGATGCCATGAGAAACAGGCTGAAAAGGCAGAGCATCTTGGAGAAGCTCTGGTGCCAGCTTAGTGTCTTCCCCAGAGATCCCCTAAAATCACCATCCTTTGGGGTAATGTGTGTGAAAGGAAAGCACACCAACACCAGCAGGATCCCTTTCAGGTGACAGTGTTTGCAATGTTACTCTTATGATAGCTGATATCTCCGTATCAAAGAGATGAGTCCAAGTCGTGATATGATTTCCTAAACACCTCCCTCATCACCCCCGGTTTTTTATAATCAAAAGCAAAACAGCTTCAAATACTTGGCTGAGACTTTCGCAAATTTTTCCACAGAATCAACAAGGCTGGAGAGGAACTGTTGATGCTGAGGAGTGCATGGCCATTGATTAAAGTAAAGACCTTGTTGCTCCACACACCTCGGGCAATGCTTTTGGCAGTAGGAAGTGTGCTGACATGTTTCAACAACGGGTGATTAATCAGAAGCCAGTGTAATTGAACACTCCCACTGCTGCTCAATTAATCTGATCACTTTCCCTATAAATCCACAATCACAGCCTGTGACTGCAGCAGAGCTCATTGAAATGCCAGCAAGGTTTCCAGTTAGGATCAGACAGACTGTTCTGGCATTTCCAGCCCAAGCCTTAGGGTTGTGTTCATGCCACCAGCACAGATACCACTGCTGGCTTCCTGCAATGCAGCTGCATGGGGGAATCAGCTGCTCCAACAGCACATTTGGTGAAAAATAGGGATGAAGGCCTTCAAAGCTGCCTAAGCTGTTTAGACCTAAAATGAAAAGAAGTGGGACAGTGAAACCTTTAGGACCCTCATGCTATTTCCTGCAGGAGTGGGGACTTGCTCCAGTTTCAAGTAAATCTTGAAGTAAATTGCTCAGAACAGGGCAGTTTTACAGCTGCCCTTCCCTGCATGGCAATGGATCTGAGAGGAGGTGTAGGGATGGGAGGAAACATACTCTGTGCTGATGAAGCACCCCAAAAATGGCTTTGCAGGGCATCATAGCACTGTGAGGCAGTTTAAGGCCTCAGTCATGAGGAAAAGCTGCATCCTGATGCTGCTGGAAGAATATGTAGGAGATATACAGGACCTTCCCAAGCCAGGGGTGACATGAACTTTTCACAAAACACAGCAAGAAGTTCTGTATGGTATACTCCACTTAACTTGGAGAGAATTAGAAGATTGCTGTAAACTCAGCTTGAAAATACCCAAACTAGAGTTCTCTGTAAAGCAGCAAGGGTATGACACAGCTCAACATAAGAGGAAACCAGCCAGCGTGGGAGCAACACTTGCTAAAGTCACTTGGAAGCTTTGTACCAGTGCTTGGTGCTTAGGCTGAGTACAGAAAGCATTTGCTCCACAAAAGTTTTCCATGGCAGGAAAATGCATTTTTCTCTGAAAGCAGCATGTCCCCATGGATAATGTCACACAGAACACAACACTCACTTGTGAATTACCAAATGGAGTCCACTCCTGCATCATCCCAGCAGTGCTGAGTGCAGCTCATTCTGCTCTCCCCTCTCCAGCACTACTTGCCTCAACCCCTCTGCTAGAGAACAAAAGCCATTCTGCTTCATCCACCACCACCAGAAGTCCCTGGATTGTTACTGTCACCAACAAAACCCCTCAGTAAACTTAGTGACAAGCAGGACCAGCCTCACAGGTCTCCAGCAAACAGCTATGTAACTCCAGGGGTTGTTTCTCCATTCCATAGCAGGCTGCAGGAGCATCCCTGGCTAAGCAAGTGGATCTAGAGCTGCTGCAAGAACATCAGGGTGAAAATAGGAATAAAAAAAGGAGCAGGAAATAGATGAGGCAGCTCTGCTTTCCCCACAAGTAATCTGGAGCTGGGTGCAGGCATTACAATTCTTAAGGAAGCTGATAAGAAAAGCTCTCAAGTCCTGAGGGTGATGATTTTGGGCAAGAGGACAATGAGGGAAGTAAGATTCCCACCCATATATACACACAGTTCTGCCTCAGAACTGGGCACAGTACTCTAACCAGATGTGGTGCCAGTTAGCTTTGTTCTGGATCAAAGAGAAAGCAAAAACATGAAGCATCTGACTCCAAGCTCCTGTGTACCCTCTGCTCTGCAGTCCTTGCCCTTGCCTTGCTTCTTGCTTAGCAAAACATTTCAGGAGGCCCAATTCCCCCTTCCCTCCCACTCCAGGCTGAATCAGAGCAAAGTTGCTGAACCGGGGCTGCTTGTCAACTTGCCAAACTTTGCTAACCAATCTTAGTGTGAAAGGAGCTGTGACAGGCAGCAACAGAAAATCTGGTGTCAAATTAATTAGCTGGAAGGGACCCAGCAAAACACTGGTACTGTGGCTCACAACCACTGGATGAGTCAATTCTCACCCTCCTCAGTATTACAGATATTGGGCTGGGTGCAGAGTCCAATATCCCAAACCAGCCCATGACAGCAAGCCCCCACAAAACAATCTAAAGTTGAAGCATTTCTTTAAGAGTTGGGTTTTTTTTTTTCACATTGGAAGGGAATTTGTTTCTCAGTGACATATCCCTCCAGACTTGAAAGAGGTTTTTTTTTCCCCCAAACAATGGCAGTGAAATGGCACCATTGGTTTTACAACTTTTTTTGTTCTTCCCAGAGAAATGAATTTCTATGGTTGGAGAATTTTAAAAGTGCTGATGGAATCTGGCAAGGGTAACTAAATACACACATGAGAGAGAAGAAGGAGAGGAAGGAGAGGAAGGAGAGGCTTTCAGTTACCATGGCAGTATGTTTCCATGGAAGCCAAATATGAAGCCTGTTGCTGCCACTGGAGTGGCCTGAAGAAAATTATTAGTTTTGAAAATTAACAAAGCTACTCACTACCTTGAAAGCCAGCCCACCCACAGCCCTCCAAATAACAAAGGCATCTTTGCATCCCTGATAAAGGATTCAATAAACATCTGGGGAAGCAAGAGAGAGCAGAAAAAATACCACACAATTAAAAATGGGAGCTTCCTTTTATGCAACCCACAACGCAGAAACCACACTGGTAAGCACAACGCTGGATGCAATTTGTGAAATATTGCACATAAAGGTCAGCAAAATCCTACAGAACATCCTGTGTCACTGGCTCCTGAGGGGACTGATCTGAGACTAGAGCTGCTCTGTTGCCATTTGTTTGAAATTATTTCCCATAAATCATGCTGATGGCTCTCCCTCAGTTTGCTCACCCACCTCCCAGAAAAGCCTTGAGGATGGAAAGCAAAATTTTCCTGTGGGCTGCCTAATCAATATTAAAGATCAGCTTAGCTACTCTGATTCTCTCCTTGCTGGTCAAAATATCTTTTTGAATTATTGAAAGTCACCTTGTACCTTCCCAACCCGATTTCCTCACCAAGAAGACATTTTTCCATCATTTTTCAGAAGCCAGGGAGCCCACACAAGCTGGCTGGTGTAGTTTATCACAGGCAACTGAAAAAACATGGCACAGATTCAGCTCTTCCCAAAGGGGAGGCACTGGGATTCAGTGATGAAGCACTCATGTTCCACAGGCTGCCAAAGAAGAGATTCAAGGCAACACAAGCAGACCCAGCACCACTTCAAAAGCACAGATCACAGAGTCCCTGATTTAGTGACCTTCCACCTAGAAGCAAGAACCTCTTCCTCCCTGACATGAAAAAAGCATCATGAAGGCCTTCCAAATGAGGCCCTCTGGGGATAACTCACCTGAAGAAAGCTGAACTCTCAGTGAAAGGTAAAGATCAGAGGAAAAGAAGCACTTGTTGGATCATCAGTTGAATCCGACTTCTCATTTCAAGGCAAAGAAAGATTCAGTGATCTGAAGCCCCACTGAAACATCACTCCTGTACTCCTGCCAGAAGGTCTCCTGTGCTCTGCTACCTCTCTTGTCCAAGAGGAAAAGGGAAGCAGAAGCAGATAACTTTAAAGCACAGTTTAACTTTCCTTTGAAAGGAAGGCAAGTACAAATAAAGGGCCTGGCACCTGGTTTGGGATTCCTGCTTTCTTCAGATTTCCCTCAAGGCAGCAGGTGCACAGAGCACTGGGAGTGCTGCATCCCACGCCTCCAGGAAAACAACCTTCCCCACTCAAGAGCCACAGACCTCCAAAGAAACTAAAAAATTACTCTGTAAGAGGCACTCAGAACTAGACTACACACAAGAGCAGAACAATTGGCTTAACACCTCCTCCCTGCTTGGGGCACTTTTCTCAGTTCCCAAAAAGCAGTCTGAGATCACAGACTGATAAATAAAATAAATCACTAGAAGAGGGAGGTATGCCTAGTCCTCAAGAGATTTCAACTGTCTTAAACCCAGCGTCAAACAAAGAAGTAATTCTCTTTTCTGTGTCACCACAAATAGGAAAAAACCACAAGGAACTGCCAAATGTGTTAAATACATAACTTAGAGCATTTTAATTAAAAAAGCAAAATACATTTCATCATTCATAGGCTGGCACGATGTATAAAAACTTTTAAATAACAACTTTAATATTAGTCACAAAATACAGCATGTTTTATAAAAATAGCTATGTGCACTGATATTACTGATCATGTAAAACCACTCTGAATAGGCCATGCAAAGACATTCAGCTTTGACCTTTCAACTTCCAAGTGCCTGTTGCATCTGCTACTTTACTCCTTCTCACTCTGCTTGGGAGGGTTTTGTGCTGGCACTTTGGGGCCTCCTCCTCCCCCCTGCACACAAAGCCCTGGAAAAGGGTTTCAGAAAGGGCTGACAAGTTAAGGTGCATCGTGGGCATCTCAGTGGCCCAATTTTCACAGCTTATGTTTCAGAAAGTGCTCAACATCTGTGTCCTTCTCCACGGACCTCCCTTTGGTCACTTAAAATCTTCAGCTTTTCAGCCAAAACCCTTCCAAATGATTCTTGGCTCTGTTGCACCACAGTATTGAACTGGAAGCAAAACTCTAGACACCCAGCCTGAGATTACTGCAGAAGGCAGAATTCAATGGCTGCAGCACCATTTTCGTACAGTTATACCTCTGCTTGTGGCGTTTGTAAATTATTCACATACCAAAATTCACTAATGTCCGTCTGTTCACATAAGGAACTCCAGGTAGGACATACAAAAGGTCATGGAGAAATACAATTTTACAGAGAGGAAGGTTTAGCTGAGGACAGCATTAATATAATAAAACTCCACAGTAGTATTAAAAAGCCTACCTAACAGTAAATATAAACTTTTACATAAACAGTCTGTTACACTGTGGTTATCAGATTTAAGAATGTAACTGTTCCAAGGGGACATAATGGACATCAAACTCCAGAAAATTTAAAAACAGATGGTATGGAGTACATTGTAGTTAAAGGTGAAGACATGTCAGATAAAAACCTCACCTCTCCCAGTTTTCCCACCACATGCTGACACACAAATTATCAATAACACAAAAAAGCTACCCAAAAGTTCTCTCCCTCCCTAGAAGTATGAGCAATCCTTGCACTTTACAGTACCATCCTCATTCAATTTAAGCCCAATGAAGGTAATGGACACAGAGATCCACCCAGCCTTCATCCTCATTCCTGAGTCTAAAGAAAGATAGGAGGGCACTGTTGGTTGAGAACAGTCCCTACTGCTGGCAATAACAGCAGCACCTTCAAAATGTGCCATCAAGGAGGGCAGCCATTGGCAGGGAGAGGCTGGATGCTCTGCCTGGCAAAGCGTGGGTTTTTCCTGATGTTTTCAAGTTTGTATTTTAAACTGTGCTCTTCTAAGAAGAAAATGAGGAAAACTTAGTGATTTATCACATCAGATAATACAGCAGCAAACTCATCTTCCGCAGTTAAAAAAAAACAGTTGAATTGTCTTAATGCACTAAATCTGACAGATAAAAAACCATTCCCATAAAAAACTGTCCCCTTAAAGTTACAAGTCACATCACAAGTGCAAGCTCCTAATCAAAGTGTCAGAAGCAGAGCAGCTTTTATCAGCGCTGAAAATCCAAAAAAGAACACAGACCGATCCTGCCCCCCACGCAGCAGGAAACAACTTCAGAAGGCTTTATGGGGAACTGGCTGGAAGTCGCTGTTTTTGGTGGCGTGTGCCATGGCCCTGCGCCTGGCCAGGCGGGATTTGGAGGGAGGGGACAGTTTCATGGAGCACACAGTGTGGGCGGTGCTCTCCTGCTCCGTGCTCAGCTCGCTCTCGTGCTGCGACAGCTGCCGGTTCAGGGCTATGGCCTCGGCAGCAAACAGGGTCAGGTCCTTCGTGCTGCTGTTCCTGGCCAGGCAAAGAAAAGGAGGAAACTGTTTCAACAAAGGCACTTCACCCACTTGTCAGAGCAGAGTATCTATTTCCAGGTGTGTTTATTTCTTCTACCAGATCACTGAGACTTGCAGGCAGAATGACCAGTTATTTGCATTTATCCACACTCAGAGGACCAGCAATACATGAGAAAAACACTCTGGGATTTTGAAAACAGCCACAGTTCTACTCCTCCTTCTGCCAAGGACTTCTGATTATAAACCTGAGATGTCACCCTTAATTTCTACCTATTCTCAAAGGATGGGCATATGGGCCCATTCTGCTGTCCTTCTCCAGAGAACTGCAGTCCCACTTTAACTGCACCTGTGGCTTAAGGAAATGCATTGCTGATGGGAGAACCATCTGAAATCACCAGCAGATACACAGAGACAGAAAAAGCTGTGTGACTCAGGCTCTCTGGCATACAGAATCAACCATCAGATCACCTCCAATGAGGCTTGTCCTGCTCACAGTAAATGGGTATTGTGAGTGCCACCAACTACAACGAAAGTCAGATCCGAGGCTGTGTTTATGGTGATTATTCACCCATCAGAAAGCAGTCTCTTTGGGTAACACATGCCTCTATGCCTTTTTCTCCCCCTCCTGGGCAGCAAGCTGACAAAGCTATCATTATCTCCTGTCTAAGATTAACACTGCACTGCAGGAATTCCCTCTAATGCTTTTCCCACAAACAAGCAAGATTAGGTCATAAAGAAAATTCAGAGCTTCAGTATTTCTGATGTTCTTAACAAAATTAGTGCAGCACATTTATGAAGCTCCATTCTCAGCCAGAGATGTTACCTCCCAATTTGTCAACTCCTCTCTCCCACCCATTCTTTCAGTAATTATTCTTGGCCAAGTTTACAGATGTTTAGAAAATAAACCCTACCTTTGAAGAACTTGAGGGGTGGGCAATCCCCTTTCAGGAGCCTGCTGAAGAAGCAGTTAAGAGAAGTTAGTTACATATTAGCAGCTGAGAACCAAGCTTTCCCAAGAGTGTCAAAAACCAAGTGACTCCCCCAAATCTTTACAACTTTACAACAGATACTGCAAATAAACTAATTCACTGTGGGCTTACAAATCACTGTTTGAAAAGCATATTTCATAATCTGTCTCCCCCCACAAGAAGATTTCGCAGCTTGCAGGTATAAGACTACAGCTTTGGAAACTCTCCAGAGGATCTATTCCTTCTTTCCTGAACTGGAAACTGAAACAAAAGAGGACACTGCTGTTCTTTTATAACCATATTTACCAGCATTCTGCATTACTGTATTAGCACAATAATTTGTGTACTGCAGTGCTTGGTATTCACAAGAAAGCCATTTAAAATGCACAAAGCAATAATTAAACAAAACAAACACTTAAAGGCTGACATATTCATCCAAATATCTATCACGCAGAAAAAATAAAGCCACTGTGTATCATTTAATTAATCAAGATACAAGCACTGAAACACAAAAGGACTCTAATAAAAAGTTCAGAGACAGGGAACAGCTTGTTTGTCACTTTGGAAGAAGAAGAACTCTTAATATAAACGGGGATACATACTCCTTGAACCCATGAATGTTGCAAAACTTGAGCAGCACTAAGTCGTTCTTTGGCATCACAAACCAGCAGCTTTGAGATGAGATCTTTGGCCTCAGAGGAAATATGTGACCAGTCCTTGTCAGGAAATTCATATTTGCCTTCCTGAATGCTCTCAAAAAGCTTGTTCTAGGTCAAAAGGAAAAATCATTCAATTGAAATACACTGCAACCAGAAGGTTTCTTAGGCAGACTTCCCACTCACTTTTATCTACCTAATGTGGAGGGCAACAACTGAAACCATCCAGTCTCCTAATGCAGCCACTGGAGAGTGACAGGCAGCTCCACAGAGTGGCTCTGCAGCCTAAGATGGACACAATACACTGTCTGCTGAAAACACTTCCCCCCACCCCTAAGAGAGCAGCTAAAAACCTCCATTTTTAGAAAATAAATTCAGGCCCTGCATGACAACCCTCCTGGGGCTCAGCTTTTATCTGAGGAATTGCAGTGACTACCATAACCTAGATCAAGGGTTACAGAACAAGGCAGGATTCCAGAGTGGGGAAGAACGTAAGGAGAAGCTCTGAGATCTCACTACAGGAGGAAGGAAAGGCAGCTGCCCAACCTTACTTCAGAAACTGGTATCACTGAACTTCAACACTGCCACCCCCACTTCCCAGTGATAGCTCATCCTGCCAGCATCAGGCACAGCTCTCCACTGCTGACATTACAGCAAGTCCTACACCCAAAGCCCAGGGAGAACTCTACACTCGCCACACACCCAGGAAATGCACACTCACCTGGCAAACTCTGCAGACTTCTCCTCTGTCCCAGCCACAGTCTGTGCCACAGTTGCCCACGAAAGGGGGGTAACCACTGAGCATGATGTACAGAATGACCCCCAGGCTCCACAGATCACACCTCTTGTCATAGAACGTGGCCTCCTCCATGAAGACTTCCACCACTTCGGGTGCCATGTATTCTGCAGAGCCACACTAAGAAACCAAATTCAAGCAAGTTTTTAAAGGGAGGGTCACATCAAAACAAGACTCAGGTTTGTAATTTTCCACTCTTTATACCCAGGGACTTGGTGCAAAAGCAGAAATTAGGCATTAGTGAATACTCAAGTTCCTATAGTTCTTTAGCAGCACTACAAATTGTTACACATGGCTGTGAACCTTTAACCCAAGGTCAAAATATTAATTTACATCTTTCAAGTTTTTAAATCTTATCCATTAATTATCAGACAAGTGTATCAGGGGAATAGATTCTGTAAGACTTCTGCAACACTGTCAGATTTTTCTTTCACAGTAAATGGCAAAAACACAGGACTGTAGTTTTTCAAACTAATGTGTATTATAAAGCTACACCCTGATTAGAGAGCTTGCATTCTCCTTAGCTCGTTGGCTTGGCTACAGAACCAAAACATAGGGAAATGAACACAAAATTAAGGTTCAAAGTCTCTCCATAAGCACACAAAAATGGGTACAAAAAGTTTCCCCATTTGACTGTGTAAGAGGTAAGCAAGACCAATGTGTCTCGTGCTTACCAACAGGAGAATGAACACTGTGAGCTCCTGTGCTTTTGTATATTTGCTCTGTGATTGGGAAAGCAAGCCAGTATTTACCACACATACCCTTGCTTGAAATGAACTGTCCAGCACTGGGTATAGTGGCAGTAAGCTCTCTAGAAGGTCTCTGGAGATAAAAAAAATTGGTTTCTAGGAGAACAAAAAAAGCACAGAACCACAATAGGTCTCTCACCGGTGTTGTTAATTCGGGAGTAGTTATTGGAGTACATGCACTGTTCAGCTTCACCCCACTGCCAAGATCAAAGTCACATATTTTTACTGGTGATATCTAAAAAAAATAAGAGGTCAGGAAGACTGAGATTAGTACAAAATATATGAATATGTATATACGTGAAGTAGAAAACGCCAGTACAGAACACAAGTCCCTAGTGAGAGCCAGTCTCTTACAGCCACCTTCCACTCCTTCCATTCGCCTGCCCTGCCCCAGCTTCACCCACACCACCAGCACCTGATACTGTTACATTATTTTTTTATTTGGTTAGGCAAGTGCCAGTACACATCAGGGCACTTTGAAAATTGGTCGGATAATGTGACCAGCTGGCCTCTAGATGCTGCTTGTCCATCTGGGTACTTGCTCAGAACAGACGAGGCACTAGGGTGTCATTGCCATCCCGCTATAAGGCCAGTTGGCTTTTTATCTCTTAGCCAGATGTTCACATTTTCACAGCTCAAAGAAGAATTTTAAGCTTCAATTCTGTTAAATTTAGTTGAAGTTCACTAATGGGTTCAAAAGTTTTCAAGAAGAGAAAAAACACAAAGACTGTTTTTGACGACCAAGTTAAAAAATTCAGTTCGGAAAGTTAAGAGACCAGAAGAGCACCTTTTCTGGAGATTCACACAGGATATTTTCAGGCTTCAGGTCCCTGTGAGCAATACCTAAACACAAGAGTACAAATGTTCATTAGAAAGGATACTCCCCTGTTTTATTTCTCATAACTTCTCTTTACTAGAAGGAGGCCTGAGAAATATTCTAGGTCTGAGCCTGCTATACACACCTGCCCCTCTTAAATATAATAATTTAATTGTAAAGTGCAAGTGTTAAAAGTCACTGTTGCAGCCTGCTATGTCTTTATCATCCTTAACTGTACAGGAGAGTCTGTCAAGCAAATAAAAACCTAACATCAGAACTTTTTGTTAGCCCAAATTAATTATGTTCCTTAAAACCAGCTTATTGAGATGACTGACATGTAAGAAAGTTTAATTCTTTACACAATTTAATGAAATTATGTTTGTGCCTTTTACAGTAAAATTGTTCTTTCCAGATGGATTAACTGGCTTCCTGAACTCCTATCAGCACAGACAGTACCTGAGGCACTCTCCTCTGCAAAAAATCCCTCGACTCTCAGATGAAAATATCCCTTTGAGGTATATACTCATTGCTGAAGCAAATGAAAAATTAAGTGTTCAGTTAGAGATGCAGAAGAAAAGCTCAAGGAAAACAACCAAAGGGCTCCTTCATTTGACTCTTATCAGAACAGGCAAACCTAACAGGGAAGTACAAAGTTATCGGTGTAATCCACATGCCAGGTGGTTCTCTGTTGTCAAAGAAGTTCTTCAAATGCCTAAAAACACAATTTCTGGAAGTCCTGCATTTAATATGATCAAACTCAATGGGAAGGTAGAAAAGGAGAGGCAAAAAAAATCAAATCAAACGAGCAACTTGGCTCTAATTTGACTGCAGTCTAGCCTTGATTTAGAAACTTACACTCCAAGGACACCTGATATTACTTCAGAGTATAGGAAGGAAAATTTCACCAAACTCTAGGCAAGGGAGCTTTTAATGTTTCTTCAGCACACTCCACAAGATGTGGCTTAAAATATAACAGTAGAGCCCCAATCTAAAGGAATCAGTGCTCAAATTGACACAGTGAACATGGCCTGAGCACAAAAGCTGGCACAATGAACCCAGCGAGGTGACCTGTGCTGACATTTACATCAAGGCTGACCAAACTCCCAACAGCTGGCGTGGCTCACAAGGAGAAAGCCAACAGTGTCTCTTTGTATTACTGTGTGAATTCAAATGTCTGATTATGTAACATTTGATTTTGCAGTGCCCAGACCACTGAGAAAACAACTGCTTTTAAACACCCCTCCAATAGATTATTAGCAATAAAGCACACACATCCCAAGTGGGTGTAAGGAGAGGATTATCATCCAGCTGAGTTTTAAACTACTCCTGGCAAAAGGATTAGTTGTCCTCATTCAAATTTTTTTAAAAGCATTTAGCTATAGGACTTCACCATTAAGCTGTGCAATAAAACTGCTTTAATTTCCTGTTTACTTCAGTGTTCTGTATCCTACTTACTAATTATTTTAATGTCACACGGAAGAACCATAAAGAGAACAATAAAATGAAAAGGGGATGTGGCTGATTCTGCAAGCTATGTCCCTGCTGTCCCAGCTCACAGCAAACAACAAGAAAGCAGACTGCTGCTCTACAGCTATTTTAATCAAACATCCTCTTCTTGTTTGGGAAAAGGAGAATTAACACTAAAAGCTGAGAAAGAACTATAGAAAGGTATTAGCTGAATTGATGTTAAATCTCTTGAGCGGGGTACCTGGACTTCCAGCTGTTAAGAAACCCACTGTAGCCCTGCACATCAAAAAAGCATTTTTCCACATATTCAGCCTAAGTTTCCTGTTTCTTATATGTCCCATATCTCAAAGTCAAAATCTTCTAATCTCAGGTATTCAAGAAGCACCTTCTCTGAAGATTTAATGTTGAATTATCACATAGACAGGCTGTGAAAATTACAAAAACTCTTAACCCAGACTAAATTTGATTTCACATCAGATTAACTTCTTGTAACAGTCACAACATGTGACAAGATCCACATTCCTTAAGTTTACCGCTGTTATCCCTATGCATCGCTACAATTTTCTTAATGGGTTCAACCTGTTGAGGTACCCAATGCTGTGATTCCATCTCAGCACATAAACAGTCCTGTGACTTAAAAGTACAGACTACAACTAAACATTTGTTGAACCAGGACCAATAATAAGCAGTTTAGGCAGCAAATGCAAGTCTGCTGAGATCTACCAGGCTAATCAGAATGGCAAAAAGGAAAAGAAAAAATATAACAAATAACCCATAAGCAGTCTCCAATTACATGCCATTCTGTTCAGAGCTAGTCACTGTAACAGTAACTGAAGCTGCAAGGCCAGATAATCACAACATAGGAAAGACTTCAAAAGTATCCATCACATTCAGCCCAAAAATATACTCCGGGATGACCATAATACACAGAAGTTTTTGAATTTAAACTAAAGTATTCCCAAGTCAAAAAAACAGTAGAAAAATACTAACATTAAAAAAACAAAAACTCTACAAACATAACTGTTTTACATCTAAACAAATTCCAAAGGAACTGAGGACACCTTCAGATAAGACTACGGTTCACTTAGGTCTCTCAATTTAACAGTGAAAGTCTAAATGTGGAAGCCAAAAGCTACTACCAACCAAGAGGTCTTGTGACCAGCAGAAATTCTGAGTAATTACAAAAAAGTAACTCTGTTGATCTGAAAGACTAGGAAATTTTATTAGACCCTTTTTGAGTAACCTTTATATGGTGGCTTATGTAATAGGAATAAACAGACTCAACCCTAATATTAACTCTCTCTGGATGCTGATTCAAGTTTTCTTCTTGAAAAGCCTATACCATCTTAACACTCCTAATTACTTAAAATACTACAATATGAAAATAATATCATAGAGGAAAACAGCTTAAGTCATCTGGCATTGCTGTAAATGGAAACACTAGCAAAAGCTGGCTACATAGAGACAAAAGTGCTTTATAACCTGAGTGTACAGCATTGACCAGTAAAGAGGAGGCAGCCTTCTCTCACCTTTTGTATGAAGAAAGTCCAGAGCAGAGGCAATGTCTCTCACCACTTTGCTTGCTTCTCGTTCATTGAAGTGCTTCCTCTTTTGTATATGGGCCAGGATTGAACCTGTCAGGGTAACAGGTGAAAGAGAAAACCTCAGTATGAATGCTGAACTAGTTCCAAGTATCATGAATCCATAACCTCATTTTCACACTTTACAGCAGCCTTTCACAGCAGGCAACTTCTGTGAAGCAAAGAGGGGAATGACTAAGAATAAAAGGCAGAACTGAGCAGCTTCACCTCTTAAGTGTGCTAGAACATAATTTTCAAACAGTGCAGCTGTCTAGTTTAAGCACAGCATGAGAGGCAATCACTTTTTACTGCCCCAGGACATGACTGTTTTCCACACACTGGGACAGTAGAGATTCGCCAATAGTACCAGAAAAACTCAAACACCAGCTAAGGAGATACATACTCAACCTACCCGAGGTCCTGGGTGGTCATACTCAAACTATCTTCATTTTCTATAATGTCACCACTGAAACCTTGCCCTGAAAGTCAAGGATACATGTTTTGTGCCTCAAAACCATCAAAGTAAAAAGAGATTTGACCTTTAAATACACATCAAATTTCCCACAGGAACCAAGACAAGGCTTCTGCACTGATAGAAAATCTGACAAAAGACTTCTAAATTAAAACATACTGAAGGGCTGGTAGCTTGCAGACAGAGCCTCACTGGTATCCCTTTAACACAGAATAAAGGGAGGTTTGATTCCTCATTTTCTGAAAGTGAATTCAATCATACCTCTCAAAAGATTAAAAACCATGTAGTCCACAGAGATCCCAGATCCCTAAGTAGCCTATTGCCTTCTATTTTCTTATTCAGAGAGGTATATTTGTAAAAGCAATCGAGCAAAGAAATTCAAGAAGTAACTGCATTTGTTATTAGCCCCAGTACACTCAACATTTTTTATCTCAGGTGATTTCACTTTTATTCTTCAGTTCTAGACGTGGAAGGAAATCTCCTACTGGGTAATTCCTATTCTAATACCATCAATGCCATTCCTCCACAGTGAGCATTCAGAGAGGGAAGAGAAACGATATTCAAAAAGGAGAGATGGACAAAAGACTGGTCAGATATGCACAGCCATGCTGTGTCAGGTGAGGGGAGGAAGGCCACTTTGGACCAGGTTATTAGATTTCAAACATACATTTTCCCTTGCCAAAACCAACACCTTCAGTTTGCTACAGATTTCTTGAGTGCACAAAGTTCAAAGGGGTTTCCTGGTGTAGTTGTTCTTTGCACCTTTAAAAAGCAGTAACAGTTCTTCAATGTTTCCAGCCCTGCGGAAAAGACCCCACACTTGGCAGGAAACAATACTAAGCCACTTGAAGTTCTCATTTCACTCAGCAGGTTTATCTGAAATTACCTTTCTGAATAGAGCTGATATTCAATCTGTCTCAGGTAAGAATTATATCAATATCAATAAAAACATACTTTACTGACTTTATATTTAGCCCTCGTAGAGAATTCTCATGAAGAAAGAATAGCAGGGCACTCCTGCCACACTTGCTCCTACCTCTCCAGTACTCATCAGAGAGAAAGCATCATACAGCACCTCTCAAAATGCATTTCAGAGGGGGGAAAAAAAAAAGAGGAAAAAACTCTTAAATCACTCAAGTTCAATCTAACCAGCTCGATTTAAACTCATTCAATTATAAAATGCTGTCAGGAAAGGATACTAAAGGGACTCTGGACATCAGTGAAAGGAAAACAGATAAGACAGGAGCAGAGCTCCTTCAGTTACCACAGCTACTGGAATGCAAAGTTGAAAATGGAAAGCCCAAATTATGCTCCAACACTGTAAGTAAGAGCAGCCTCTGAGACTGGAGTTACTGAAATAAGGCTTGCATTGAAGATTAATGTTCTCATTCTTGCCAGCCTTGCTGCTCACAGCAGGATCTGCAGTGCATCAGATCTGACCCTAATTCCCATTCTTTGTCTTCAAACCTAACACTTCAAATACTGATTTTTTAAGAGAAAACTAGCCTCAGCCCTAGCTGAGCCTGTAAAAACAGTAGCTAAGAGAGAAGGAGTAGCATTATTTTCCTCTCAGAAGCCGTGCAGGTACACTGACAACCACAGACTCACAAAGAAGAGGGTTAACTAATGGAAGAATGTGGAGATGAAAAAAAAAGACAAATGCAGATCCATCTCAATCAAGCCCCATTACAGCTAATTTGTCAGAGACATCTGTGCATTAAGACAAAGTATTATGGGAAAACACAATAAAAAAATACAGCAATTTTGAAAAAAGTTAAACAAAAGCTTTTAGTCACGAAATATACACATTCATCTCTTTCAAAAATAGTTCTGCATCTATGCAGAAAGAATTTTTATTTCTTGCACATACAGTTTGGTCCTGGAAACCTTCTTGACCAGAGACAATAGATGATGTCCTCTGGGCAGCAGGATACTCCAGAAGCTCAGTTTTCCTTTGAAGGGTTGGCCACATGAACTCCTAGTTTTGCATAGCCATGCAATTAGTGTGTACTGTATTTATGCTCCATGCAGACAAATGTGAAAAAGTCCATAAAGTGCTTGCTGCAGCTTTCTCATTCCTCAGGTGAGTGGGAAGTGCTGGAGACCAGTGACCACTCAGGCTCACTTGATGGACTCTCAAACACCCACAAGCAAAACTGTTCTCACTAACAGCACCCCCAAGGCAAGATGATTTGTTTAACAGAGCTCCAAGAGTTCCAGGCAATAAAGGCCATCCTACATCAAGGGAAAACTCTGCCAGAGGACACAGATGCTGCACTAGGATCATGCATAACACCTGATATCCTGTGTGTCTCCCTTGTCTGAAGGTCCCATGACCTACTGACTGTATTTCAAACCTGGCACTTTAATAGACCTGACACTTCCATCACTCAGACACAGAAAGGGATTGCAAATGCATGGCCAAACCCATCAATATTCCAGAATAACCATACTTCAAGTTGTGTATAATACTTCCCCTACTTCTTGTCTTGAAATTCTCAAGCATTTAAAGTTCTTCAATTACTACTTTAAAATAGAGGCAAAAAGGAGCCAAAATGATTCAATGAGTAAAGGCACAGTTTCTGCACAGTACCTCCTCGCAGCTTCTCAAAGACCAGGTAGTATCTTGTGTCATCTTCAAAAAATTCTATTAACTCCAAAATGTTCCTTTAAAAAAAGAAACAAAAACCAAGAGAATAAAGAAACAAGCATGGAGTATACACACAGCAATGAAGAGTTTCAGCATGGATAACTAGGAAGTGCCAGAAGTAACCAAAAATACAAGCTCAATTTAAACAAGTTGCTTTGGTTGCCTGTGGCATTAAAACCACATTTCCAGCTCACACTGAAATTTAAGCACAGGAAACAGGCTAAACACCACACTCAGGATTGTGAGAGCTCTGCTAGTGCTCAATTGACAGGAAGATAACTGGTAGTAGGTTGTATTTAATAATTTAAAACGCTGCATTTGTGCTGAAGGCAGAAATAAAGAAAAAATAATTAAACTGGCGTTCTTTCTCTCCGGAAATCACAAAGCAAAACACACAGAGCTCAAACGACACAGGCATCTGTCAACAAGATATTAAATCCAGCTCCTTAGTTGCCATTTTTACATTAACTCCTGTTTAGCTCATGTAAATTCTTTGCAGCACAAATACTGCAGGTTGCTTTGAGAATGCCAAATGTCTAAGTCAGATTTTTTTACATTTAATGGTACACCTAAACCCTGAAATTGTGCATGTGGTCGTGTGAGCTTGAGTTTTCCATCAGTTGTGCACTGGATGACCACTTACTCTTAACCTCACAAAAGAAGAAAGTCACAGTCTGTTCTTCTACAGCACAACATAAGCCCATGAGTTTGGTAAACAAGTTATTTCTGTATGTTATATTAAGTATTTGTTCGAAAAATTCAATATAAGCTGCACAACTGTAATATATATAGCATCTGTTGTATATACATTCTAGATTAACAGAGACATCTAAAAGTAGCTTCAGAACTGGCTCAAACCCATCACAGAGCTCCCAGAGCATGCTGCCAGTGCCTGCATAGCTTTTCTTCCTCTTCAGACATGAGCAGCAGCTTTACAGTTGCTTCATCCTGTGGCTACATGAAGTCAGCACACATCCAAACGAGAACTATGTTAGCTTTTTGCTGATCTAAGAGTTCCAGAGCAAAAGCAGAAAGGCTGACAAGGAGGAGGACAAACCACACATCAGGGAAAGGAATGGCAAGATTTTCTTTCCACAGCAGTTGGTATCATGTCAGCTTTTGCTGATGGTGAAATCACAGGGGAGAGTGTCAAAACGTTAATTTCTCATCTGGACAAAAGCCATGCATCACTGAAGCACAATCAAGCTACACTGACCTGACTTCTAATTGAGTTATGTAACTATTAATCTGTAAATAGCTCCCCTAAATCTCACAGGTAATGAAGGGGAAATTCTTCCTCTGAATAAGTCAAGTCTACATTTCAAGTGGTTTAAGGAGACTACTGCAAAGCTTCTAACCTTGTCAAAATTTGAAAACAAATAATCAAAACAACTTTAAATAAACAAAGACAAGACTATACTTACTTGTTACCTTGACACTGGTACAGAGTTTCTATTTCACGAAAAACCCGACTCCGACTATGCCCAGCATTTTTTTCAATGATCTGTGAAAAAGAGTTTTAAGAACTCGTATTTGAAAAATTACTGCAGGAACTATGCATGCAGCTCTGCAATTAGGTAACTGTTCCAAGGTCTGAATCTAGGGCATGCCCACTGGAGAAAAACACTCCACCTCTGTTTGTTTGTTCAATTTCTCATCTGGCACTTGTTTACAAGGCAGAGCAGTGTCAGCAGAGCTCTGGAAGGTATTCAGAGGATGAGAGAAATTAGGGCAGGAAGAGAAGAAAGGAACTAAATCCACATGTTACACAGCCAGCAACCAGTTACCAGAAGGTTTTTCTTACATCATTTTAACTTTGCAATGTGCAGAACAGGATATCCTCTTGAGTTCTACCAAAAATAGATTTGAGTCACATCAGACACTGAACAGTCAAAAAGAAGAGATTTGTCATTAGAGGCATTTAATAAAGAAGTACCAAATTCATCACAAAATGAGAGTTAAGTTCATAATATAAACTTTAAACCCAATAATAAAACCTAAAGAAAACATATATTCCACTTCAGAGCCATCAGAAGTCACTTTCCTTCACATTGTTCTCAGGTTGAAAGAGGACAAGAACAAGGGCCTTCCACAGAGACTGAGCCTGAATGATTGCTGCATAAACTGAAAGTTCATGACATTACCAAAACATCACCATCATCTGTATTCAGGACTGGTTTCTTATTTCTTCAGCCTGAGTTCTCTAGTGCAGAACAGGCAACCATTCATCAGTACTACACAGGTCACTGTATCTGATCACATCAAATTCCTAATGCAGAGCTTTGTTTATTTCAACCTTTCAACTTCAACAATTTTACAAAGTACAGACAAAAAGTATCTAAAGAACTACATTTTTAAAGGGGCTTAAATTTTTGTGCTAATTTTGAATAGAATCAAACATAAAGATTCCCTGTTGCTATTATTTCTGTTTGTAATTAAATGGGGGGTTCAGAATAACAACGAATTTGTAAATGAGCCCTAACACTTTTCAATTACATTACAGAAAGAAGACTGGCCTCTATCAAAAAATAAAGATTTACATGAACCACTGGCAGCACCTCATGCTCTCTGAACTCAGAGCAGCACCCAAAAGCTTGCACTATTTGGGAGGCTATGCTGTATAGTGACTCAGCCTCTTCTTTCATACGGAGACAAAGGTAGACTACAACCAAAGCAGGGCCTGAGAGGAAAGGTTGCCCTGAGATCCAACCATCACAGTGATTTACTGTTTGTGATTTCTGCCTGCAATCGATCCACAAGTTTACTCTGGAGGCACAACACTTAAGAGGACAGGTTTTCTCAACAGTTATAAAACAAGCTCGTTTCAAACATCAGAAATTTCCTAAAAGGATTTACTATTACCCGCTCTGTTGCAGGTTTTTCCTGAGATACTCAGAGGAAGTGGACACATCACAGACAGAAGTGATGCTGCTTTTACTCTCTACTTACCTTCACTGCATATTCTTTCCCAGTCTGGAGACTGATAGCACCCTGAACTTTAGCATATGCTCCCTCACCAAGCAGCTCAGCAGTCAGCTTGTACAAGTCTGCCAATGAAATCCAGAAGAAAGGACACATCCATCAAAGCGAATTTTGAAAGTGAAAGTTATTTTAATAGATAACATCAAGACAATCTCTTTATCTGATAAGCATCCCTCAAATTTATGTGGTATTAAAGCAGACATGCCAGTCCTAACTACACTTCCTTTTTCACCTCCCTCTTTCAAGTAACAGAAAAATTAGAAGTAAATTAAAAAATTAGAAGTAAATTAAAAATTAGAAGTAAACTTTATTACAGCATCAAAATTGCACATTTGTTCACACTAGAAACGTTTTATATCTCAGCAATCTCTAGGATCTCAGCCACCCTCCTTGTCTTCATGTAAAACTAAAACATTTTTTCAGGTGAAAAACAACTCCTTGCTCAGGAAATGCCTACCATGCATAATCTACTTGCAGAGATGGTGTTTTAGGTATAACAAACTTGAACATTTAAGCCTAGAACATTATTACCAACTTTATTTGAAATGTACCTTCCATTGCTACTTGCACACTAAGAACTTTTACACTGCTCATTTTCTCACCGATCTATATTTTACTTACAAAACTTCACACTTTTTGTGCACAAATCTATTCAATGAAAACATTTTGACATCAGCACTGTTCCTACCAAAAAATGTAATGTTTAGCTAAGAAAAGAGAGAAACAGCAGAAGCAAAGTAGACCATAACAATTAAAAACTTTTAAATTGTCACCAACCTTCGAACTTCCCAGGGACCTGATCTGTGGCTCTGGTTCTTTTTTTCTTTTTCCTTTTCCCACTGTCTGCTATGGGGACAGGCTGACTGCTGACCATCTCTGTGTGGCAGAACATAGAGGTGACTTTAACAATCAATTCCTTTAGGAGAAAATACACATGTTCTTATCTATCCAAAAGTTTCTCTGCTTTCTTCATCACAGGCTACCACCTCTTTTCCAAATATCAGAGGAAGCCTAAAAAGGCAATTGGGATGCAAATCAATAGTTTGGGGGGCGCAGGATTGATAAATAAATGTAAAAACAGGAGGGAACACATCTACACTGAATCCTTATCTCACAGCACTGTAAGGCACAGAAATAACAGAACATGTGCCCTCATACCAGACAGCACATGCAGCCCTCACAAGGGCACTCTTCTCTGAGCTACTCTACTGTTTTACAAAGAGATTTTTTTCAAATCAGCTCAAGAAAATAAGCCTCCAAAACAGCAGGAAGGTGTGGAGAAGTTCCAAACCACTCAGTGAAACAAAGCAACCACAGGAGTTAAGGTATCACAGGAGCAATCTAGGTCAGTTGATGCTGCCAAAAGGCCTTAAAGAAAACCATTTCTCACAGAACCATAATGTACCTTTCTAAACCACCGATCAGTGGGTTATTTATGCTCCAAAGCATGTAGTGTTTATGGCATTTAGATTTTTCTTCCTACATTACTAGCTGCAGATACTACAAGAGCTTAGTCAGAGATAACAATTCACTGATGCAAGATAACACGGCAGAAAAAAAACCCCTGCATATTGTTATTGAAGGCCTAAATAAAAACACTGCCATATTTGTACAGCTAATCTATCTCCAAAAAGGTTAAATGATTGCACACTGAGGTTCTAGGCAGGAGCACTTCACACCAGTCACATCCAGCCAAGTTTGCCTCAACAGTTTGAAATCTCAGATGAAGTCTTCAAGGCAGTAGCAAAGTGCACCTAAGACACTTCACAGCCAGGAGGAATTCTGACTAAATTCACTTTTAGTGATCTTGTACTACAGAAAAGCTAAATCAATAGAAACAGTGTAATTATGAGAACACTGGTAAAGAAAGAGCAAGTCCCAAAAATTTCTGTCAATTCTCTTTTAACAGAGATTGTGAAGAGCAGTTTTCCTGCATTTCACTGTTTCTAAAGTACTCAAAACATGGGAGAAGCTCCAAGGCAGAAAACATTCCAAGACAATCTACCAATATATGAAATACTTTCTTTGCTCCATTACGTTTTTCTTGTTCTTATCTGTCAGTAATAGCTACTGTGAGTGTTACTTAAAACACACACGTCTAAAAATTTAGGACAAGTGTTATTTTGAAAGTCCTTTCTCCTTAACAACTTAGTGAAACACTTTAACATATATAACTCAAATACTCAAAACAATAGTAAAACCTCATTTTCAAATCTTAGGCAGAACGTGTTCAGAAATCATCATGATGGATGTTATACGTGACTTCTTAAATACAGTCATATAAAGCACATTTTACCAATTTCTGAAGAAACAGCTTCCTTTTAACTCAATCTGACACGCATACAGCTTCAAATTTTCACATAACGAGAAGATGAGCCTTTGGCAGCTAATTCCAGCTCTCCTCTTTTTCAATTCAACCTGCATCAGGAGTTACTCAGAACTGGGACTGAGATGACACATGAAGCTGCTCAAAGATAGGGCTGCTCTGCTTGAAGGTAGTGCTTGATTTCCAGAAGATGTCAAACAAGTAACTTTAATGACCTGACCTTCTACAAGTCATAGCTAGACAGATTCTATTCCATTTCAAGTATCACAGTTTCAGAGCCTGAAACAGACTAAAACTCAGCAAAAACTCCAGAATGTGAATCCTGTCTCTTAGCAGAGCTGACATATTTCTTCACAACTAGCTCCTGCACTCTACCAGCCAGCTCTGATATTTACAGTCAGCTGTTTATTAACTCACTACATAATTTCAATTCCCTTTAGTCTGACTCAATTCCTAAATTACAGAGAATTGCTTCCCTGAAAACAGGAAGTTCACTAGTCATGTACACTGAAAACAAATTGCTGAAAAGTTGACATTTTCAACCTATAGTCTTGACTAAATTTGCCATCACACTAAAGCATGAAAAGTTTGCTGTATTAGATTCTTATTACTGCTCTGGTCTGCTATTTCACATCATTGTGTAGCTCATTCTGTCAACACAGCTTATCCCTTAAAGGTATCACAGCTTCACACTCATTACTCACTTTGTTATAATGAACCAGCACTTAAGTAACAGCTGGTACCACAAGAAAATGCCTTTAGTCCAGCCAAACACTTTAGAGATTTTTAAAGCTTTCAAAGAAATGCCTTTTTTTTTTCTGCAACTGTACAACCAAAAGAGTTTCTGGTGACATGGAAGGACAATGCACCTCAACCATCCAAGCAATGCTGAGGCGCTCTGCATCCTGCAGGAACGCTTCTGGTGACAGGGACACTGTGGGCTCTGAGGCAGCTCACTCTGCCAGACAGAGAGCTCAGGGACTGGATGGACTGCTCTGGAGGGAAATGGCCTGTGGACACATCAGGATATTCCAGGATGAGTGTCTTCAAATTCTGATCTGTCCTCCTCCAGTCAGGTTAGGATTATTACTCACAGGGTAATATTACCAGTAAAATCCACACTGTAAGTAAAATGAGAGCAAGTTTCTGTCTTAGCTGCAGTTTTGTTGAAGCCCCTGAATTTTATCACCATCATCATAACTCAGTGTTGAGGCAATATTTAACACACACATTATTCAGAGCCTGTGTGGGAAGGTAGTTACAGCCTTTTGCTGTAAAAAAAACCCTTGCAAACAAAGCCAAGAGAAGAAGACAGGGAACTATTACCACAGGTTTCACTTCATTCAGACCCTAAGTCGTCTTTATCTTGCTTCCTAACACTCCATATATGAACATGCCAAAATCCACTACCGAGACCTAACTCCTCTCTCATTCTAATCTGCTTTCCAAAGGAAGGAAGAGTATATTTGGAAAACAAGCACATGTAACAGGAAGCACGTGGAAAACACAGAAGAGATGCCTTTTTCTATTAGGAAGAAAATACCTTGTTTGTGCGCTTGAACTCAGTGGAAGAAAGCAGAGTCCAGGTACCACCACCTGCTCCAAAACTGGGTCTTGCTTGAGCCAAGTTGTTCTGGAGCTGAAAAGAAACACCATCACATTACCACTAAAAAATTCATGAAAATGTTTTTCCACGCATTTAGGTAGTGCCCAGAGCCTAAGGACATTGCAGGGACCTGTTGTGCTGGGTTTCACATGAACACAGAGCAAAAGCATGCCCCTACAATTTCACTGGAACAAAATAAAAACATACTTCAGTCCAGTTTTCTTCCCAGCTTAGTGATTCACATTGTTCCTGGACCCTCCCTTCTCCATCAACACTGTAGTTGTGGCTCATAATGAAACTGGACACATTCAGCAGCTGCTGATTCTACAAAATCCATCCAAGCTGCAGGAAGCTCAGAACAACCCAAGCTGCCTTTAAAAAGCAACTACATAGTGATTAATTGTGTTTATAATGTTACACATCAAGAGAGATACAATTTGAAGAGGAAGAATGTGCAATGATGTGACACTCGTGTATCAAATCAGAGAGACTATTTTATACTCATTCTGTATTAAGTATATCAATTTCAAACTGTAAGAAGTGAATACTCTTGATTTTTGCACTACTTTGCCACAATTCATTCTTTGCTGTCAGTTACCTTCTCAGTCCACCCAAAATACAACTTTAAGTTTCATTTAATCTGAGTTATCCATGAAGGGAGAGGAATTTAAAAACATTCCTACATCTTCTCAATAATATACAAGAGTATTAACATTTTCAAATGAACACCCCAAAGTTCACAGGAAGCCCGAGCAATCCAATTTCATGAAAGAGCAAGTCTGACAAAAATTATTGATCCAGCCTTATCACTGTAACAACTCAGAGTGCCACAGCTGACATCACCTGCCTGAAACCCTTCATGCTGGGGAAAAAGGTTACAGCAACGTTTCTCTTTCCTTCCCCCTGCCATTCCCTCTGTCACACTCCCAGAAGATCAGTGTCACATTATCTCCTGCTCGGGCAATTTGCAGAGTAACTTTTTGGTAGTCTCAGCTAACTTCCCTTGCAAACTAAGTGGGGGTTTCCTGAGGTTCTAGTCAAACCCTCCAGCAATGGGTGGATCCCACTTTTCAGGAGATCACATCAAGTTATTTCAGATAGATTCCTCCCTCCCAATTTCTTACTTCACCAGGAATTACTGCTGGGGAAGCAGGGAGAACCTTAATGGAGAGGAGAACACACGCTTTCCCTCTCATGCTGGAGAAACAGCATAGTTTGACACTCATGCTGCAGACATGAAACCTCTTGATATCAGCCTGCGCTTCCCCAGGCACACAAGCATTTCTTTAAAAGCATTAGTTATCATTCAGAATGACAGCAAAAAAACTGTTATCAGCCCCACTGGAAGGACAAAGGCAAACAAGAGAAGTCTCCCGATCCAGCTGAGACATAACAACTGAGGAGAACAAATTAGACTGAAGGTGGCTTAAAAACACTGTAATCTTCTTAATTTCTTGTTCAAGGACAATGTGTCTCCAAGGCAGCCACATGGATGGGAAGATATAATAGGATGTATTTCACAGGGCTAACAAATAATTGTGAATGGTGACCCCTGTTGGGAACAACATGGCACACAGGCTGGTTATTGCACTAAAGAACATTTTCCACATCCAGCAGAACAGTCAAACAGAAGATTTAATGCTATTCACCACTGGCAGATAGTTCATATTTAAGACTTACCATCACAGGGCAGTAAGAACTTAGAAGCAAAGTTATTTTAAACTCCATCACACACATTCGAAATGAGAAAACTCACAATAGTGTGTTGACTCAACTACTTAAACATTCTTCAACCCCTAGAGCACTTTTAAATTAAGGCGATCTCCAATGTAAGTAGGTTCTGAGGGCCCCTTACTAAACAGCAAGCTGTTTACTTTCTTCTACATCTGATGGCATGAACAACTCTCAGAAGACTTTCTCTGCATCACCAAGTAGCTCCTCTAATCCCCCTCAGCTCCCTTGCTAGTGTAAACCAAAGAGAAAGACTTCTTGGACAACAACTTTTCATTTCATACAGATACAAGATAAACATTTCCTGTTCTTGCTCCACACCCCACAAACGATCAAACAGATAATCACATTTGTCACTGGAAAAAAAAGCTACACAACATACACCTACACCAGAAAGCAGACTTGTTTGGAGAAGCTAATCTAACTTAATGCTTTTCTAAACTTTGAAGCTGACTGATTCTTCTTTATTTTCCCCCTCTCTCTGCTTTCAACTCTTAATTTAAGTCATTAAACTCCACTGCATTGTCACATTTGATGTCTCATAAGATTTGCACCAGTGTTCTAACATTTGTTACCAGGAAGGTACTAGGAGAGAGGAAATTCCTCACAGCAGTAAATATTTGTTTTGAAAGCATTACAGAGTACTGGTTACCATGAAATAATGTCATAGAAGATTTTGATTGAAAAAGACTTTTAAAGAACCAAGAAAGGTTCAAATGCACAAAGGCACCCCACTTTACCTGGAAGGCTGCCAATACAAAACACCTTTAAAACTGAAGTGAAAGAGGTTCAGCTCTGCAGGAGTGGTTTTTTGCCTTGCTTCCATCCAGCACGTGGGAGACATGAAGAGGAGCTCTGTTTAGGTTAAAAAAATGCAAATAGTTCTTTTAAGTTATCAGAACATACACCAATCTTCCCAAGCCAATTGTGAAATGAATCATAACACTGTATGATACAGACTTTTAGAAGCGGTCAGCTTGTAAATGGCAAAAAAAAAAAAAAAAAAAGGCAGTGGCTTATTTCTCAACAAATCTGACACTTCACAGACAAGTGCCAGTGGTGTCAGGGAATGGACTGATTTTTTGGCTATCATACGTCCTGCTGATGCCAGCAGCCGAGCTGTCACCCAGGGCTCGCCCGCTGCTTCTCTCGCCTCAGAAGGTCACCCTGCTCAAACTAATGCCAAAAAGCGCACATTAGGCAGATTTTCAGTGTTCCTCGGGGTTCTCAGCTCTCGTTTTATGCCAGAGGAAAAACACAGGAACTAAAAGATTTCTCGTGATCACACCTAGGAGTTGGTTCATTCCTTTGCCTGCTCTTTTCCTGCTCCAGCAATGTCCTCAATAGAAAGCAGCCGCCGTAGGAGTGTACACACTTACCACTCTTTATTGAAAAACGCACTATGAATAAAACAAAGCATTTTAAACCTTCGGGGAATAAATTTCCAGCTCCAGACACGAGGAAACTCCCGCATTCCTTGGGGAGGGCCCCCAGACCCAAAGCCGCTGGAAGGGCTGAGGCACCTTCCAACCGCGCTGGAGCAGCCGGGGCTCCCGCTCTGCCCGCCACACTCCCGGACGAGCCGCAGCAGCTCCGGCGGACACGGACCGAGCCCCTGGGGACTCCCCTCCCTCGCGTCCCCTCAGCTGGCCCAGCCGGGAAGAGCCGTGACCGCAGCCCCACCGCCCTCACCTCCATGGCGGCCGCGGGTCCCTGCTCGGCGGGGCGGCACCGCCCGCCCCCGGCAGCGTGAGGGGCGGCGGGAACGCGCCTGCGCGCGGCACGGCCCCGCCCGGGAGCGCGCCCGGCGCCAGGCGGGGCCGCGGCTTCTCTAAGGAGACGGGACGGGAAACTGTCCGGAAAATTAATCCTCAAACGCCATAGGTTTATGTCCAAAAAGGAGACACGGGAGTGCTTCTTCTTTATTCGAATAAAGGGAGAGGCGATGGGGCATTCCCATGGCATCTCTCAGTTCTTTGGAGGACGCAGCTTGCCTTTTTATCCTATTTGCCGGCCGCATTTCCCTCTCTCTTTCCCCATTGGCTGAGGTAGGTGAGAGGTGCAGACTTCTCGGGACGCCTGATCCCTGAGATTCCCCTCCAATGTATAACCCTCCCTTTTAATTTTTAATTCTTATGGAATTCATAGTTTTTCCCCATTGCTTCTTTCATCTTTCAATATCCAGTTTCATTTATCAGCAAACCTACGGTTTGTTTGTAAAGGCAAGTATCTTTTTCCATTCATCGATCAGTGGAATCCTTCCCATTGGTTCTTTTATCTCTCAGTGCTAGCCTTATCTGCCAGCAGACCCACAACTTGTTTGTAAAGACCAATCTGTCATTCCTGTTGGAACGGAACGGGGAACAGAACAGGAATGGAACAG